CAGTATCGCCACGCCGCTTACGTCGATAATACGGAAATACATTGCGAGCAGAAATAGATTTCGCGGAGGAGTTATGTCATACAGACTGCGCTCTGCGGTAAATCGATGCCCGCTGCTCTCGGCACAATTTGTTGTTAACAAAGCTCAACACTCGGTATGCGTACTTTGTGCGATGTCCTCCCGCGATTTTTTCCAGATCAATAGCCTAGAGTTTATTTGCGTTGATAGAATTTGGAGAACGCGTAAGAGCTAGGTGCGCTAGCTAGTCATATAGCGTCGAATATATATATGTATGTGTGAATACGAGAGAGAGAGAGAGAGAGGCAGAAAGAGAAGGAGAGATATGTGTAGCAGATGCTTTCGCGTGCACCGTTTAACCTGGCAAAATTCGCATGTAGAGTTTTTACGCGAGAACTGTCTTTAATAAAAAATCTAAAAATCTATGCAAATAGATACGGTAAATACGAATATGTCAAATGAAATTGTTTTATGGAAAATGCTACAAAATACCGTGTATCTTTAGCTATTTCATGAAATAAAAAGATGTACAACTCCCGAACATGCAAAATACCTACGCAAAACATGATTTTTCCTCTTTTGAGAATCGTTAATCTGAACCGTACTAACGTAGGTTGATAGTTGTGACATGAATGGCATCGTTAGAACCAGTTTATTATAACTCGTCATTATAAAATGTCAAGGCAGACTTTTCTGATGAGAATGCAAACCGCTGTAATCCGCGGGATGGACGCGTTGGAGTACAAAGTACTCGTTAACGTGTGTCTCTCGTAAATGCGAAAAAAGATGCGACATTTGGAGTAGCTTTATCCACATCGGTTCACGCGCTAACCACGTTTAACTAAACCTACTGTTTGCTTAGATTATAGCCGGCGATACACAGAGGGAATACAAAGAATGAATTAAACTGTGGTTAGAGTGGAATCACGTTGAAGAAAGTTTCGCTTGAGCACGTGTAACTGCATTTGTAGATTATGTTATGAACATGACGAAATTATAATTATAGGAACAATAAAAGCTGATGAAACGGGAAACAGTATTTAATCAGATGGAATTTCTTACTTTTTTTATAAATTTGATGTTTCCAAATTTTTATTTTATTCTTCCCTTGTAATAATAACGCCTATTCGACTTTCAACCGACGGTTCGCTTATTTTTCTCAAATTTACACCGATTTTCGGTGCAGGACTAAGGGTCAAAGAGCGCGAATTGTTCAAGTTCAACGATGCGCCGGCGACGCGCGCACACCGACAAAACCTTTTGTCGCGTACGACGCGAAACCACGTGGAAAAACTGCTGGTTTTGTCGGTCATCGGGCCACCGATGGCGCACCGGCCCCGTCGGAAGCGCCGAAAAACCCTCCCTTCCTCTCCCTCTTCCTCCTCCTTCTCCCCGTACCACCCACTTGCATCCCCTAGACGCTGCACGCTGATTTATCGTCACCCGAATTTTGGTAGACGCATCCGCGCTCGTATGCCAATTTTATGCCTGTTACGCGTAAAATTAGAATCGCGACGAAATTAGAATTGCTTTCTTTTGCACGACGACAACACAGTCACGTATAGTCGATGCTTTCTCTGTTCTTAGTTCAGTCTTGTTTAAGTTGGATCGTCGCACGTCTTTGAATCGGTGAGGATATAAGTACAAATATTGAAAAAAGATATATTGATATATAATATTTGTTTCGAATAATCGCTCTTGCACGACAATGTGTGGAAAGATTGCCGATACTCTGGGGATTATCGGATTTTTAGAAATTTCCTATTAATTCCTCTTGATCCATCTATTTCTCGCAGTCATGTAAAATTAGTGTTTACAATGTGCGAGTGAACAATTTTTCCAGGATCTTGCGAATTGCTTATGCGTTTCGTTTCGAATCATTAATCTTGGATGGTCTAGTGTATATAGTCTTATTGTATTCAACGTTTGACCGGCATGATAGTTGAAATACTGTTTACACAATTCGCTTTCGTTTTGCTTTAAACGCTTTATCCGGAATAATCATCATAAGTGAAATGTGCAAAGGCATGCTTTTACGTGCATTACGATGGAATTTCACACAAAAAAACTTAGAGGTGATTGTGTTAGCAAAACGATGATGACAGTCAAAGTCACAGACAATCAAAGACATTCAAAGTGTGACGATGGCACAGAATAGTCATTTTTTTGTCGCGCGTCTAAAGACTAGTTAAATTTCAAATTTTAATTCACGCATGATGAGTAGAAAATTTAATATTACTTGATTATTATTATTTTTAATCTACATTTTATCTTATACAATGTATGGCAGATTTAAATATATTAATCAATTATGTACATCGTCGAACAACTAGTCTAGTTCCTCATTGAATTGTTTAATGATTTTCCAGACGCTTTTGGAAACTCTACTTCTTTTGGATTCGTATCTTTTCTTCATGAGAATCGTCTAAATCTAAATTTTAAATTGCGATTTAAATTTTGAAATTTCTTTTGATATTTATCGTTTCAATAAAATCACAGCAATTATAATCTGTATATTTCACAATTTCCATTCTTTAACTTGCTACTATTACCTATTTATCATAGTCATTATATTAATCTACTTTATCTTATTCTAACTTACCTATCTACTATCACATTATATTGCTACTTCTCGACTGCTTTATATATCATCTTAATCTACCCTTTAACATTTTATACATTTTCATCCTTATTCCTGTTTTCCTTTTTCCTCTTTAATTTTTCTCAATCTTTTATCTCATTCTGTCCAAAGCTCCCTCAAAATATTACCTTTTACCTCATTTAACTCATCATCCCATATTCTTTTCCATTTTTTTTACTATCACTTCCTAACTCTTCAGACTATCCTTTTATAGTCTGATACGTATCCACACATGATCCACATATAATCAACTACAATCCTGACCTTTTTTACAGAATAAACATATCCTGTCCACTTTTCCTATCCAATATTTATTCATCTCTTTCATATTTCCACATCTTAATTTAACCGACGCTTTCACTTTATTACCCATTCTTAATCTATTCTTTTTTGAGATTTCTTTTAAAATTTTATCGATCTGACAACGGTGAACATAGGCTTGCAATTCAGTATGACACACAACGAGTGTCGTATTCAAATTCAGATAACCCGTATGATTGGTTAGCGCTTATAATGTTCGAATAATGTAGATACTTTGTACAGAATCGCTAGCGATTGTTTTTCAGAATAGAAGAGATCAAGAACAAATAACGACGGTACTATTTCCTTACTGGGAGAAATATATTGAGAAACAATTTACATGACGATGGCGCAAAATTACGACTCCAGCGCCTTCTTTCGGTGGATTACAATTCTCGATGATATCACGTTCCCCTTTTTCGATTTTGTCGCAAAACATTTCACGCCGCTCAAAGACCTCGTGACGAAAAACAATCGCTAGGAAGTGGAAGGGAAAAGAGAAAAAAGGACGAGAGCGAAAGAGAAAGATAGAGCGTGATAGAGACGGAGAAACAGAGAGAGAAGAGAGAAAGAGAGAAAAGAGAGACAGAGAGAGAGAGAGAGAGAGAAAAAGAGAGGAGAGAGTTAGTGGAGAACGTCGAGAGAGAACGAGCGAGCGAGAGACGCGGCAAAAGCGAATATGTCTTTAAAAACACCCCTCTAGACTAGATCGGGTTGTTGTCGTCGTGGTAACCATGACGACGCTGCCCCTTGATGGTTGGTTATAACCGTACCCCCACCTAGCATCTCTGAGCCGACGCTAGGTTTCCTCGCGGCGCTGGCCAAGCGAAGAAGAGGCAGCCAGCAGCCTCGGGCGATCTCCCCCTCCTGCCGCGCCGTTCCCCGCTCTTCCCGTCGCCCCCCTCCCCCAACCATTTCTCTCGCCCGTCTCTCCCCTGTGCTCCCTCTCAAACCCATTCCCCACCGCGCCGTCAAGCGCTGCCGCTGTCGCTCGTTTCTCCTCTCTCCCGCGCTCCCCGCTGACTCCACAGCCCACACAGTACGCAAGCCACCTCGTCGTTCCCCTCGAGCTTCGCCTCGTCATCCTCTTTCCCCCGCGCGACCGCAGCCGCCCTCCTACCTCCCACATGCCACCCTCCCCGCACAGGTCCAAGGAAACGCGGGATCGCTTCGAATTCAAACTACCGAACACGAGGTTACCACGCGTCAAATCTGACACTTGGTCGTCCTACGCGTGGTCGCGGCTCGCATTCGCTGAGAAAAATTTTCACGGAAAAAATTTCCTCGCTCGAAGAGTCTCAAGTATAAGCGGGCAAACGAACAAGTGCGGTAACGTCGATCGATTTTCGAGAACGATGTAAGCGCGATGCGCCGTGGAGAAGGCGGCGAGAGTCTCGCTTCTTCTTTTTTGGCTTAAGACCGAAAGAGAAGAAGCGACTGGTAAGGAATCGTAGCCGGGCGCGGTTGCTATACGCATAAAAGAAGATGCCTGAACATTGGCCGTCACCGACGGCAATACGATAATCGAGGGAGCGTGACGTCGTGGGTTTTTCGGCATCGAAACTAAGCTCGCGTGTATCGTAAATGCCCGCACGTAAGCCGTAACGTACGTACATACGTGTCGCGCAACGCCGGCGTCGTTATCGAGAGACTAAAGTCCCAACGGCAAAACACTCGAGTCGCCTCGAGTCGTCGGCCGCGCGAGCGAAGTCGCTCTCTCGCGATCCTCGACGCGAGCCGAGCGGCGCACGCTCACGTAACCGCTCTCCTCGGCCGGCACGAAACGCGGAAATGCGGCACGCGTGTCGTACACGCCGAAGGAAGGGAACGCACACCGGGGGAGCGCGGACGCGCGCAAGGAGGGGTAGGGGGTTGTGAGAAAAAAGGACGGTGGCCGCGGGTGAGTGTGCGAGAGTAACACACACACACACAGAGAGAGAGAGAGAGAGAGAGAGAGAGAGAGAGAAACAGAGAAAGAGAGAGACAGAGAGGTGGGCAGAGAGAGAGAGACGGTGCGCGCGGTACCGCGCGCGAAACTCACCTGACTGACGTCGCACCACATTATTATTTCGCTGACACTGATGACAGCATCTTGGTACGCTGCTGCTGCACTGCCGCACACGGTGCTGCCGCGCGACGGTCCGTTTCTCTGTTCGCCCTCCGCGTGACTGTCGCGGTACGTGAGAGCGAAGCGACGGGGTCGAAAAATTAAAAGAAAGAAAAATTAAAAGAAACCAACTGCGCGGATACGTGAAACCGGAGCACCACGTTACTTCGGCGACGGCACAATCAGTAAGTTCTGTTCGCCGAATGTGCCTTTCGTCTTTCCTGCCTTCCGCGCGCTCTCTCACAGTCTTTCTCACTCACTGTCCGTCCTCCCCGAAACGTGTCCTTTAGCGCTGTTTTCTCGTTCTTTTTCTCCTCACAGTCTCACGAAAAATGCACTGCGCCACGTAAGTATCGGCCGCCGGTATGTAGCCCGGTTAGCTCCCCGAGTAACATCGCACGAGCACTCCGAGCGGATGACGTGATTGTCATCGACGCACACGCTAGTAGCTAGCTGGCCATGCAAAGCATTACTGAATACTCTGACAACAGTCCTCGCCGAGTACCGCCGCTCCGTTTTCCCCCGAACGTGCGCTCGGCTGTTTTCGTACGCGCTCGGCCCACCTGCACTCCGACACGATCGCCAGTGCCGTAGCGACGCGTCGGTGCGCCCTGTACGTCTTATACGGCTCACTCGTTGGATTTCGTTGGCACAATCCAAGCTCGATGCGCGATTTATTTGAAAAAATGTTCACCCGGAGATACGATTAGATCTTGCGTTATTTGCAAAACTTGTGCGACCGCTCATTCATCGAAAGAGAATACGAGATTGACGATCGTTACAATTGACGACAGCATATGTTTGTGCTTTTACTCTCGACCTGACATTTTGAGAACAAAAAAAAATCATTGATCATTCATCGAGCGCATAATACCGTATTGTTAACGTCCGAATGCGTCGATGGATCTCGTGTAAACGGAAGAGTACGTTTCATTCACGGCGCGTAAATTAATTACATAATTAATATCGGATTTAATACTGTAGAACTGTGTGCGTCACTATTCTGACCGTTCACGAAAGGAAATCCATTGTCGAAGTGTGCGGCTTTTCAGATATAAACAATGCCTTTATGTCAAATGATTAGTGGTGTTTATTAACGCGCGAGAGAGGGGAGGGCAAAAAAAGGGGAGGGAGGGGAACGTCGGATCGGCGCGAGAAAAGAAACGGATTCCCTCGCGAAAACTCACGTCAAGTGACTATATCCTCCTCCTCCTCCTCTCTCACAGGAACGTTCGCGCCTCTCGATCGAGAAAAATCGCTCTGCGCGAGAAAGTCCGTGATAGCGCGGCCGGTCGATGAAAGTTATCGGAGAACGGATCGGTGACTGCCGCTGAAATATTTCAGCGACACGGCGGAAACTCAAAATGACTGCGCTGTCCGCGCGCAGATCGCACCGATCCCGAGCTCTCGTCGCGGCGCTGCTTAATATCTTACGAGACGACCGAGATAGCACGGTCAATCGCGCCACCGCGCGACGCCAGGACCTTGCGGCGAGCAAGGTAATCGCGCGCGCGCTCGCTTACGAAGAGCAGCCGCGCGCGGCCGACGGAAACGTTTCCAGGCGTCCGCTGTTTCTCTCTGTATCGCGCGTTTTCACCCCAAAATCACAAAACGAAAAAGATTGATCGAATAGAGACCGTTCACTCGATTGAGCCTCTCCTCGAGGAATATACATTCCAAATTCCTTTCGCAACGTTACTCGTCGATAACAACCGTCTGTGACGTCGTGTAGAAAGTAATATTGGCTTACTCTCGGCAAAGGGACCGGCACGAGAGCCACGTTAATTCGCCTTAAAGCAGAAAACCCACTTTATTAGCTATTGTGAGTTTTAAAATATTCATTTCGCTAAAAATCAACGTGCTCGCGTGTTGCGTTGGAAGGAACAGAGAGAATGAGAAGCGAGCGAGAGAGCGAGAGAGAAAGAGAGAGTATGTGTGTGTGTGCGCGCGCGCGTGTGTGTGTGTGTGTGTGTGTGTGAGAGAGAGACAGAGAGGAGAGAGAACGGAAAAAGGGAACTCGCGCGGAGCGAAGTACGCGAGCGCGTCCGTGAGTAAATTTTCATGCAGCCTTAAAGGCAAGACGTAGGAGAGTCACGGAGGCTCGGCGCGCGTCGAGAGCGCGCGGCAGCCTTCACCGGGGAGCCTCCGGTCTCTCGTACTCGGGGGCCCCCGAGCACGAGGGAGTCGGCCTAACGCCACTAGGTTCGAAACTCGCCACTGACTGGCTGGCTGTATACGGCGCGCAGCGTAAGAGCGCCGAGAGAGGTCTCGCTCCGATCGCTCGCTCGCTCGCGTAGCCGAGCCAGCCAGGCAGCAGCGATGGCGCAGCAGCGATGCCACGGCGGCGGCAGGGCGGCGGGTGCGGGCAGACAGCGCGCGAGCAGCCATGCTGCATACGGCGCGCAGCCTAAGAAAATTCACCGCGAACATTTTTATTCCCTATCGGGTAAAAGGGGCGCGTCATCGGGACGCCGCGACGGCGAAAGGACGCCGAGGGACGTGCGCCGTCGTTCGACGCTCGGCTGACCTCCCCGCGTCGGCCAATTCCGCGAATTTTGCGCGTCATTCCGTATGCGGCCGCGAGGCAGAGCGCGCGGCTCGAGGTCTCGCGAGAGACCGAGAGGAGCGTGCCACACGTACGCCGACGATGGGACTCCGGGCTGCGCGTAATGCTGAGCTCGGTTTCTCTTCGCAGGCGATGGTGATGGCGACGTCAGCGACGGCGGCGGCGGTGACAACGACGGAGACGGAGACGACGACGACGACGACAACGACGGCGGCGGTGGCGGCGGCGGCGGCGACGACGACGATGACGACGATGGAAATGTCGGCGGGGTCGAGGGACGCCGCTGTATATTTTCGGCGTAGCCCGCGATACGTCTACGCGCGCGTGTACGCAGCGCTTCTTTAAGTTATTATTAAGCCACGCGGAAAATTTCTCCTGCGCGCGCAAACGTGGATACACATAGATTACACATATTTATCTCTTTTCTTCCATTTTTCGCTTCTCTTCAAATTCTACGAGATTCTTTCAGTACAACGGATTACTGAATTTCGCAATAGCATGATTCCGTCGAGCCTTTGAGATAGCACTCGCGAGTCACATGATCGTTCATGTGGAATTTCTTGGTATCGATGTAAAATAAGTTCAATAAAATATCGTTTTCCGTCCGAATCCTAAATCGTCTAACTTCTAAGGTTCGACAAAGTTGCTCAACTGTCCATCAAGAAGGGGAAGAGGGGCCTACAACCTACAACAAGGATGCGCGACGGGCAATAACAACAGCAGCAGCAGGAACAGTAATCTTTTTATTGCAAAATACGACATATAAATGTACATATAAATGTACATGAGCACGTTATCATGATAAAATCCGCTTAAAAACAGCCAGGATGATGCGCGCGCGGGCGCGTTGGGATTCCCTGTCGACGATTCCGCCGTCGGCTGGCGCGGCGCGTCCGGTTGTTGTTGACCGTGGCTGACGCCACGGAGCGAGAGCGGCGAAGTCGTACGGGCGGCGTGGAGGCGACTTTTAACTGGCCGGCGCGACGCAGCGCGAGAATGCGCGGACGTTGCCGAGCGCGGAAACATCCACGCGTTACCGTCGCCGCCGCCTTCGCCGCTGCCGCCGCCACCGCCGTCGTCGTCGTCGCTTCAAATCGGACAAGTCGCGACGCGTACAGCGTGTATGTTGTATCGTGCAAAAGGCGATATCTATGCATGCGATAGGTGACTGCGTGGACGTGAGCGATACAAGGCGCGCGTCAATCAAACGACGACAACAACAACGACGACGATGACGACGACAACGACGACGGTGAGGACGACGACGACGGCGACGGCGACGACTTTGACACGGAGGAAAACGTCGGCCGACTTTACGATTGGCTGGGCACGGCATGACGGATGAATTGTGGCCAATGAATGTCCTTGCTCTCTGGACGAGGCGAGCACGCCTTATTCGAACGCGGGGCGCGCATGCACGACGATGTCGCGAGAACGGCCGCGAGGTGGAAGGGAATTTAGAATTTGGCACGAGAGACGGTGCACTTCCGTCCGCGTCGGGTGTTTTTGTGCCTTTCCCTACCGCAACGTCGACGCGTTGCTACTTCGTTTCAATATTTTACACGAGCTCCATCGAAGCCTCTTTTTTTCAACACGTTTACTCCTCCACGACCCCCACCAAAGTTAGGTCGTGTTGCATACTGTTTACATGAATAAAAGTGGAATATGGGAACAAACGAATATCTTTGTAGCTTCTCGTATCGGTGCCTGTTCAATTCTCGCGGTGACGGTATTTTTCGTGTCAAAATCATTGACGTTATTCACGTCGTATCGCCTGACCCGTGTTGCAGGTTGCAAGTTGTAGGTTCCGGACTGCGGAAGGGGACAATTGTGCGTATTGACATATAGTCATAGGATATATTTATCCTGCCAGAGCGCGATTATATATTTTCAATAATTCCTAGCGGCCGCGCATTGATTTACAAAGGCGTCCGTAGTATTCAGTTCACCGAGGTTTGCCGCGCACAGGCGTCATCGGACTTTCTCGCCGGCTAGGAGCGCTCGTTAGTGCCTCGGTGAAGCTACTCGGTGAAGAAGGATACTGCGGTGGGGATCAGGAAACGGCGGAGATCTGGCGGGACGTTTTACGATCGTCTTCGAAAGCTGCGACTCCTGTGTACTTCCGGCCTGAATTCTTAAACCACCGCCGGCCAGACTCATCTACGTGGAAGACGAGAACCGCCCGTCGCGAAGAAGCGGTTTAAAAAACGAAACTTTTATCTCCGTTAATTGCTCCTATCATGATTCACGCGATCGCGGATATAAACGTAAGGAGTTTTTGAAGAAAATTGATTTAACTGTTAGAAATCGATATTCGAGGAAACTCATGTAGTCTGATGTAGAAAAATTCTACAAATGGACATCAATTCGTAAGTTTCCTTTTAACCTAAACATTGTTTTATATTGAAATAGAAAATATTTGTACGATGAATATGTGTATTTTTTCAATCATGCGTTTATAATAGTAGATATTGCACACATGCTACCACATTTACGCCAATGATTCCTACATTTATTTTAACTCTTTCAGGTATATATTTTTCTTGGCATCTACTTTTAGAAGTTCGTTTTCTGGAAGTTTCTTTAGAGGCTGAATCCGAATTTGAGGTCAAAATTTTAGAAGATCCAAGATGGTTATGAAAAGTTAAAACATACATACTTATAATTATTGTTTCTAGTTTCGCTCTTACAGTACCCGCGAGAATATTGTAAGACTCGTTCACTTCCGAAAAATACTTTGGAATGTTTTAAAAATGCATCTAAATTGTCGTTTCAATATTGACAATAGTTTAGTAAGAGATGCATTTTACTGTTTTACTAAACTGATTTTGACTATTTCTTTATTCACAATGTAAATAAATAATTAGTGATTGTCCAAATATTTTACACTTTCCATTTTGCTTATGTTTTTCCCACCCTTAAACTATGGCACACATATGCGTTGCCTGAAAAGTCTGCTGTATGCGGACAGCGTCTAAGAACGTCTGATGCTCAATTTTGACTGCGCGCGGACAGCGCATGGAAGCGCTCAATGTTGAACGCTGACAGTATAAGAGCCTTCGCACAAGACATCCGTAACATGTTAAGTTTACGGATTTCTTTGTGCGTTGATTTAAGTTTAATTTTACGTACAGGTATGGCCATTGCATTATCAGTACGTAACGTAACATATTACGGATGTGCGTTGACTCTGATAATATATAAGTGACGCATCGGAACGATTGGCGCTAGCTCTGCGACGCACACAGCGGCAGCGTTTTGCTGCCGAGCTGTTCGCAGTCTAAGGGTTAAAACGAAAAGTACACGCGAGAGAATATTTCTGAGAGTCTTCAATCATCTGTAAAAATCCGCTAACCGAACATCACGGCGATCTCGATAACATCGAGAGAGAGAAAAGAAGAAATCCCGTTTCGCGGACGTTTGTATCTTGTCGGAGAGAACGAGGCTCCTGTTTTGCGAAGATTCTAACTTCCAACGGGAACAATAAGTATACACGTATCAAATTTAACGGTGGATTCGTTCGAAATGAGATCATAACCCCCGTCACGTGTGATTTAGAAAATTGGCGGCAATCGCGACGACCACAAACTTTATCGCGAGCGAAGTAAGTAATCGCGAATTCCGTGTGTGGTGGTGCAATTCTGATGTTTTGATAAACGATCCGTTTCGCGGAAGATTGTTCTTTGTCGAA